GGGGGGGTCGTATTTACGTTTTGGCGTTGTAGGGAGAGGTGGTTGACTTTTCGTGATTTTCCTGTTTCATGCTTACTATATGCCCCCCCCCCGCTCGACAGCAAAATTTTTGGTAAAAAGTAGGGAAGTTTTCCGGGAAATTTTGGAAAAAAGGGCAGGAAGTTGGGAGAAAATCTGAGAATGGTAGAAGGGGTGATCGATTCGAATTCGTGGAGGAAGGGAACAGAGGGCTTGGTGGGGGGGGGGGTCGTTCCAACTCAAGAGGAGAGGGGGACGTACAGACTCGACTAAAATCCCCAACCAATGATGTGCCCTGCCGTAGTGTATAGGTCGCATCCTCTTTCTGACCGTGCGTGAAACCGCTGCCACCCTGGTGGTACCCCCAAAGCAAGCGGCTCTAGCCAGTTCTTCTCGTCCAGGTTTCATGGAGACCAACTAGCTGTGTTCCTCAACAGTCTCAACAGACCCACCTAACTCTTTGCTGATGCACTACTTTTAGGTTGATGTAACCATTTCGGAAGTTTAAGCACTAACTCGTGGGAAGACTAGTTAGTCCAACCACTCACTGCTACACCATGTTCAATCGAGGTTAGGCCTATGCCACGGAGCCGAACAATTTATAAAGCTGCTGCTGCAGCTAACTAGGTTGTAATTTTGAAAGTTCATTGCAGCAGTTGCTGTCAGATCAGGAGGGAGATCCTAGATCCTTGAAGAAGAATCCAGGGGCCTAAGATTGTTTCCTCTACGGCTACTCCGAGTGCCGGATCACTTTGGTTCCCAACACATTTTTCCCAATACTTATGTCGCCACTTTGGCAAGTTCCACTGTACAGCTGCTCTGATTTAGGGCTTTTACTTGGTACCCCATTCCTGAGCGGTTTAATAGAGAATAGAGGCCCAATATACTCGAAGCGGAATAAAAACGTACCCTACTGTAATACAACTTATGTTTCGCCAATAAATGTGACAGTCTGTTGGCACCATGAAGCAACACATCAATCTCGTCTGCTGTTCCACATTTATTGATGAACGAAATGCTGCACTCCTCTGATCATTTTGACGAACAATTGCCTAAAATCACGGAGGTTGATTTGGTACTTCACTCCAAAAACAATTGATTTTCGCCGTTTTGGCGCTCATGAATGCACCTATGCGGCTTTGTGGGAAAAAACTCACGCGAAAACAGCACACTGGTCATTGTTAGTGGAAGAATGGGCGTAATGTATGGCGCTATGCAGAACAGATTGAATAGCAGTGAGTTGGTGGAAATCCGCCTCCATTCACTTCGTAGGCTGACAACAAGCTCAGACACAGCACAACGACATCGCGCTCGATGTCAGTTTGCGCAAATACCTGCCAGTGTGAAGGTAAATATACTTACAAACCAGGGAAACAGCATTTGAAAGAAAGATGAGCAACCTTAAGCGCAGTAGCAGCGCATTTCAACAGCTGTGAGCAGAGTTTGGCCTTTTCGATTACTGAGGTGAGACATACTGCAAATTCAACTATGAAAAGAAAACATGACGAATGGACTTGTAGAGGAATAGGTCAAGTTCTGCTATAAGTAATGAAAGGAATGGGAAACGGATGGTACTTCCAATAAATCAGAGAGTTGATAATATATCTTTACAAAAAACACAACTATGTACCTAGGGCATCGTTGGAGTGCTCCTTCAACCGTGACGACATCATTCTTTCAATTAAAGCAAGCGAATCCTCATTGAGCACATCCTCCAGTAAACATGATTGCAACATCTCCAGTATCTAAATTAAGATGCCTCCAGAAAAGAACGTCGCTTCTCCGTTTACTGCGTAAGGAAAAAACTGCTCGAAGCTGTTTTGTTATGATAACTGCTGTTTAACGCCGCAGTACGCGTTTCGAATGTTATCACAAGAATGCTGAGTTGTGGGCAAAAGTCGTGCCCCAGAACGGAGTCGACCGCAAAATCACGCTATCCGTTACGCCACCAGGGCCGCTTTTACCCTCTCAGCTTAACGGCTTTTATGCCGTAGCCTATCAGCACTCACACGTTTAACTTGGTGAGCCGGTCAGCTCGCCGCAGTACGCTTTCGAATTTATCACCACGAATGCTGCAGTTTGGGAAAGTGTCGTACGGGAGTGGAACCGTTACGATGTTGCCCACAACTCCAGCCATTCTGTGGCGTAACAAGTTGCGGGGAATCGAACAAGCACCCACGCCGCGCAAAAAACGTGGCGGGTTCAAAGTCCCATCTGGAGTCGAAAACTCTACCCATCACTAAAGAATTACGCCGTCGTGTAATAGCAGTTATCGCCAATGAAATCTATTTCAGAGTATGCCTATACCGTTTCTGAAAAAGAAAAAGACTGCTACGATACCACGAAGTTCGATCCCACGATCACATTAAACCTCTTTCTCAACGCATCGATTCTCACCTGCCTCTCGGACTGTGATCTAAAAGCCGCTTGGTGTGACGTGCTGAGAAATGGCTTTCGAAAAACTTTCACGCATCTCGGCTTCAGAAAGCATTAAACCAATTTTCCAAAAAGGTCTCGGCTAGCAGATTTTAATTTCAATAGCGCGGGCAGAGCGGTGTTTAATAAGCTTCCTAACTACTCCAGACCACCAACAATGAGCTCGAGTCGGCTTTACATTATACATACCTTCTCAACTGATAATTGCGCCACCACAATATCCAGAGAAGCGCCTATTCTATGCAAACTAAGCAACACATTCCAGTCTATGATTTCATCCAGTGCATGCCTTCCATCACAAGTCTCAGTTATACTTCAGTTCGAATTATCACTGCTTTGCTCCACTACTGGCCCATATCAGCTGAATTTTCCCTTGATTATACTGTCGGCGAATCTGAAACAACATCGTCCCTGACAAGGTCTACCATTTTTCCTATGATAAATCGCTGAAGCTCACTTTTTCACCCTTTTCGTGTCGTTATCAAGGAGTTTTGTCATGAAGGACTGGCGAATGCCTCGTGGAATTGCTTCCCAACATGTGAATAATATTGACCATCTATCAGCATAAGCTTTCTACCCGCTCTTTATGCCTTGTGCGGCTGATAAGCTGCACCATTGCTTATAAGATACGATAGTTCGAATCAGAAAGTGTCTATTTTATTCATCAACCTTACTTATGACTACGACAGCGTCCCACGATGGAATGAAGTAGAAAGAGAGGGCCGATGAACCCGCGCAACAGATTTGGCGAGGTGCGAAAAGTGAGGATTGGGCTAGTTAAGTATGTGAACACCAAGTTGGTAAAAGCGGCGTAGGCAAGTCAACAAAATGCACGGAATAGAGCAACGTCGAAAAAGTTCACAAACTCTGCGGGTGACACGGATCAGGTCATAGTAAGGGTGGTGAGTGTAGTTAGCGATGGCACTAGCGAAAATTCTACTGAGAGGTGAGAATCTGTCAAATTTAACGAGAACGAACCACCACATCTAAGTTAAGGAATGAAGCCTGACGGTGATGAGAGATGAGTGGCTGACAGAGCAGTTCTGGTGAAAAACTAATGGAGTGAATACAGGGAAGTTGGCCTACGTACATGCGAGAACCGCACTAAGAAGAGCGCAGATCTCAGTGCAGTTTCTCGCGCTTCACTTTTCTAGAAAAGAAGAGCCTTGCAGCTCCGCGGGAGAAAGGAACAGGTTGTATCTTATTAATCCTCAGACATTACGTCTATAATTGGGCATTCTCCACGGTTCGACCATATGACGCGACCCCATCCGCGATATACCATTTTCACTTTAAATCGGACACTTTTCAAACCAAATCGGACACTTTTCAAATCAAATCGGACACACCCCTTACAATTAGGCAGTTGATAACTAGACCACACTAGGTACTGCAAGCCCCGCCCCATTATCCCCGCCCACTTCTCAGCGCGGTCACGGTTTTCCGAAATGTTTCATGAAATCTGCTTCTTCGACTTTTTTTCACTTTTGCTAGTTGCACACACACTTCAACTGAAAAGGATTGGTACCGATACAGATCTGACTCCACCCACTTCTCAATGAATCGTTCTTTTCACATACAATCTTCACAAAACGAATATACTAATAGCCATAGTGCATTTATACACTAGCACACTAAGCCCCGCCCCTCTGGCCACGCCCACTTTTGTGTTTTTCGCGGAATTTTGATTTTTCTTCCGAATTTTCGCTTTTTTAGGCTGTAGCAAGCGGCTCCGCCCACCAATGGAAGCTCCGCCCACTTTTGAAAAATGATGCAAATCGACAGGCTAGAGTCCGTACTGGCACGTTATGGCCTCTCCCGTCACTCGAATGAAGTTCCGCTTTTTTCTCGTTCTGTGTGACGGGAGAGGCCATAACGTGCCAGTACGGACTCTAGCCTGTCGATTTGCATCATTTTCAAAAGTGGGGGGCTTCTACAAAGTGAGCGGAGCTTCTAATAGTGGGCGGAGCAACTTGCTACAGTCTGAAAAGCGAAAATTCGGAAGAAAAATCAAAATTCCGCGAAAAACGAAAGTGGGCGTGGTCAGAGGGGCGGGGCTTAGTGTGCTAGTGTGTAAATGCATGGCTATATTCGTTTTGTGAAGATTGAATGTGAAAAGAACGACGTCGAAAAAAGTTATAAAATTCAAAACTTGCGGTAACTTCATTGAGAAGTGGGCGGAGTCAGATCTGTATCGGTACCAATCCTTTTCAGTTGAAGTGTGTGTGCAAAGGGCAAAAAAAAAAGTCGAGGGAAGCAGATTTCATGAAGCATCTCGGAAAACCCTGTCCGCGCTGAGAAGTGGGCGGGGATAATGGGGCGGGGCTTGCAGCAGTACCTAGTGTGGTCTAGTTATCAACTGCCTATTGTAAGGTGTGTCCGATTTGATTTGAAAAGTGTCCGATTTGATTTGAAAAGTGTCCGATTTGGTTTGAAAAGTGTCCGATTTAAAGTGAAAATGGTATTTTAATATTAAGCCGTGAAAGGCAGAGATTATTACATAAAGTGGAAATGAGACCTTCTCCAAGATATCCTGTTGCAAACGGTCAGCACAGTGCGACACCTCTTCCCATCTTGTAGTCGCAAATAAGATCGAAAGTCTGAAATTTCAATATTCCTTCGTGTAAAGTGTTTGAGAAATAATCTAACAGGGCAAGTAATAGTTAGAAACACCTCATGGTTTGCTTCCATGACCAACACTCAGCGTCTTGATCTCCGAAGTATTTCAATGCCGGGCACAAACCATACACTTAACAGAAGGGAATACAGGGCTTGCTACCATACTTGAAAAATAGGACACCACACTCACTGTCTTCTCACTATGAGTTGCTGTGGTGGAATCAGCTTCAAGAACATTGCAAAGAAACTTGATTAGGTCTTTGCAAAGTTCCGGAGGGTACCGTGCCTGAAATAAGAGTAATCGATAAGATGTTTGCCTAAAATTTAGGTGGGGCAATTACCTCATGCGAGAACAAGCAGTGGTCGACAAAAATTCCATTGTGGGGAAGATGCGCTCTTAGAAACGCGCCTGATTTGAGTTTTGCCATGAAATGGTGGAATTTCATAGGATGAAAATCTTTACGCAGATGCAACTCTAATAGCTCAACGTTCTCCAGTGAAATGGAAGCAGGGGATGAAAAGAAAGTTGCTCCATTTCCAATTACAGTAGTAATAATTCTACGGCTACGACCTAAGAATACCTACGACCTTATGGTGAATGGCATAAATTTGGGATTTAGAAAGTCATTTTGAGAGATTGTTCAGCGGCCCCCTGGACTCTGTCATTATGAGAGTGCGGCTAAGAGTGAGCCTCACAGCTGTGCAACCGCAACGTCAGAGTGATACACTTCATACGCCGAGAATGAGAGAGGGCATGGCTTGTACATCAACTGAGCATGTAGTGTGCGTTTTTCGTGGGATATTTCCGTTTGTGACAGCTGATCTTCGCGTGGGTTTAACAAACATCATAAAGCGTCCAAAGTGGCAAAATCCTCAAAGCGCCCGCAACGATGTTTGGAATGAGTACTAGCACGCCCGCTCCACTAGGGATATGAAGTATATTGTGATTGTCGGTAGATACCTTTCGTATGATCTGATCATATTCAGAAGCACCAAATGAAGGTTGAATCTGAGGTTAATTATGGTTTTTATGTGAGGCACATCATTCAGCTGAGGGAGTGAGTGGCTTCAATATTCAATTGTTTGGCTGCACAATCGAGGCTATGCTAATCAAAGTACGAGTCAATGTTTTTACCCTTACAACAGGACCCAGTCTAATGAGTGCTCACCTTGTAAGAGCTCGAAGAACACGAATGGTTGAAGAAAACAACGTCAGATCGACATGTTCCAATGTGATCGCGAGCATGAGCACTGCCATCTGAACGTGCAAGCCTCAGCATAACTTTAATGTTAATTATGTATAACACATTATGCGAAAGTAAGCAGCGTTAACGATAACAAAAGAACACTTAATAGAGAAACAGCAGCAAATACCAAGTACTAACCGCGAGTTGCTTCGACAAAGCAGGGGGTAGAGTCTGGAGGGGAATGTCGCACAACACACCAGCAATAGATCTGGAGTCATGACAAAGCTCCTAAAAGAATTACAGAATGCGAAACAAAAGTATAAAGATAAGATTCAAAGAAAAGTAAGAAACTTCTACGATTCTTACAAATTTCCGAGTCTTCTGTTCACGTTCCTGCTCAAAGAACGAACGCACGGGAGCCGGTAGTGTTTCGAACGAGCTAAAATATTGATATACGAGCAAGAAAACACAGCAACAAAATATTTCTCAGCGGAGCAAACTAGTGTCTCTATGAACATGAAAAAAACGGTAGTGTTGGTTTTTCGTGCAAACAAAAGAACTGAATTTCCGTTGTCCGTTTCATAGTCATGGGTGGAATACTCCGACGATGAAGTGGTGGAAAGAAACAGCCAGAGGCGGCAGGATATCGTTTGGTGGCATGATTCGAGCAGGTCCAGAGACAATTGGGCTGCCAAGGATCCTTACTTAGGCTGTTCTCCATGATTTTTTGACTTCTTCCTTCCCCGGATAATCACTCAGCGACCACGGTTTGTAACTGTACGCCACTATCCGCAATATACAATCGCGGAGTTTTTCTTTAATATGGAATCGAGAAGACCAAGGAGGGAATTAAGCACCATCACCTCTCGTTTTCGAGTAAGAGAGGATCAGAGCAAGCCACCTGCAGTAATAATTTCACCAGCTGTAAAACCTTTCTGAAGTCTACGGAAGGGCACCACCTCATCATGTAGACTCATATTTGGAATCATCAACAACTACCTTCCACTGTCCTCTTCCACGGAGAAGCTTTGAAGAGCACTTGCCAAAGCACCAATGATAGGGCTTTTGTCGGTGTCCTGTAATTAGGATGAATACGGTGAAGGCATGAAGAAATTTCTAAGGTAAATCTTACTTCTGCGGCTAATAACTTTGACATA